CGGCATTTAAAAATAAAAGTTCATTCCGTAAGTCGTTTTTAAGGTTCAGATTCTCGGAAGTCCCCTGAGTCTTACTTCAAACGCGAAAGTTGGATGAATGTGTGTGTTTGTTGTGGGTTAAACTGTTTTAGCTGTTGAGATAATTTCAGGGAAACTGGCGAGGTGAAAATCTGGGAAATACCTTCGAAAATCTGGTCTACCCTCACCCATTACTCTCGTGTGGAATCCTTGAGGTTGAAGTCTGCCAGAGTTGGTGATAGTCCTTAAAACTTGAAATTATATTTTCGACTAAATGGGAAACTCTAGTTCTGTCAAATCCACTCATTCATGCGGTTCCATCACCCGGATAAATAAATATAAACAAATCCCCACGATTAGAAGGAACGATTTTTTTTTAGTGAACAATCGAAGAGTTGAAAAAATTGTTGAGATAAAATTTCGGGAAGATTCACCACCGGTGGTCAACTTGATTCAGAAAAATAGAAAATAAATATTGTGTGCGAGAAAAATTCAGAAAATTTTTTAAAAAATTTTTAATGGAAAAACACTGGTCTTGAGGGAGGTAGGGTTCCCCGGGTTGAGAAAAACAATATTCGTCTCGGTAATAACCAACGGCAGTGACAAAAAGACAGTTGAGAAAGGAAGAGAAATATCAGTGGATCCTGTCTCGACTGGAGAACAAGTCGGACAAGTCTCGGTTGGTGTACGCAGGATATCCCCAGTAGGAAGGACTTCACGAACCGAGAAATACGCGATTTCGTAGTGGGAACCTCGTAAATTCTGAACGTGCGGCAGTTCGGGGCGGACGTTTTAATCGACATGTACGCGATTCCCATCGTATCCTCTTAGGATGGAAAATGACTTTGAAAATTAAGCCATCTCATATTTTTACCAGGACTACAGCGAAACTTTAATTAAACGGTCTCCAAAAACCCATAAAAAGATCAGAAGATATTACAGAATTTATGTTAGTATAATTGATTATTGCGGCACTCGCAATTTTCAAGTAATAACTCCAATTAATTTATAAGCGAGTAATTAAAATGTTCAAAAAACGCGAATTAAATCAGGAGTAATAAATTGATAAATAATTTATTTCCTCCAATTCTAAAATCAGTTGAGTGATATATTGATGAGAATAATTGTCATATTGTTCATGGAGTGTCAATAGATTGGGAATAGTTTATCGGTGTGAGTGTTAAGTCGAGGACATTAATTATCAACCCCCGGCGTAAGCTATTCACATCTAAAAAGAAGAAATGAACAATTTATCACCAATCGGAAGACATCAATCAATCCATAATAACCGTAATCTCACTCCATAAATAAGTCCGAGGAACTCGGGTATCTAACGATAGTTGCAGTCTTCTGAAAACTTAACGAGCACCGTATATACATATATACCGTCACGGTATATACTCTTTCATCCATAGAAAAGCTCTCCCGAGTCGTCGCAAGTGACGTTCATGAAAAATAGATTCCAGCATTCTATTCTGCTGTCCTCCATCCGAAGAAAATCGGTTGGAAGTTCAACTAAAAACGAAAAGGTCACTATTGACGTCATTATCGCGGAGATTATTCCGTCACTCCAGTGATATTTAATTGAGGATAAAAGAATTTAAACATGTATATACACCGGCTCGATTCCATTAAAATCCATAATTGTTGGACGATATATTTTTTTTGTGCGGGTTATGGAAAATTTGAGGATTTTTTACTTGAAAATCGAAGCGCACCCCGAGAATGTTTTCCTTTGGTTTTTTTTTCACAGGTGAAATAATAAAAGTGGATTTATGAAAAAGTATTCATCATGAATATGCATTTCTGAGTTTGATCAGAAGAGGGAGAGAATAATGAAGACACAGAGAACACGAATAGCTCAACTTTAAAGTGGAACGTCTTCATCGGCCATTTCTCTCCCTCCCTCATTTCTCTCCCTCCCCCATTTCTTTCCTCTTTTTCACTTTGGCATTTATTAAAACCGCATTCCTAGGAGGACTCTGCGTCTCTCCTGACATTTTACCCCGGGGGACAGATGGGGTAAGGAAATATGGAGGAGAAGTGCCTCCAGGAGGTCTCGCCCTCCTGGGATCAATCGATAAAATTCGAATAACATCGCGATGGGGGAGGATAAGACGGTAATCCTGTGGTGACAAAGAAACAATTAGCCGAGTTCCGGAGCTAATCGAATTTTACCGTCGCAATAGCGGGGAAACACTCACGAGAGCTGTCCCGATAAATTATATTTTGGATTAGTGCGGGATGCGGGATGACAGCTTCAATCCCAAATTTTTGGCAGCACCGGGGGATAAATTTTATTTGATAACGCTGATGTATCGCGTTTGAGGGACCTGATAAGGGAAAAAACTTGTCCATTTAGATGACTTACACATCTGTGGGATGTGGAAGCCGATGATTAATTGGAAAGTTGTTGGTCCCATGTTTTTCCCGCAGTGTAACGGATCGTTCCTCATAGATCTTTTGCGGATTACGAAATATCAATTACACCCAGAAAAAAAGATTATCTGAAGCTAATAGTTATCTCTACTTGTCCATTTTTTATTGCTCTAAAAATGTAATTGTTATAAACGAATTTTTAATTGGAGGCAGAGATTTTAACTTTTTTTTTAATTAAAAATAAATTTTGTAATTTAGGATTGAGGACATATTTTTGATGGCTGAATTATTTTTTGGAAAAATATTGAATTGAAATGGAAAATTGGTAATTATTGTCGCTCACCGTAATCGTCCTCGTAAATAATGGCGACTTTCGTCCAGTTGAGGAAGAACATGACGTCTTGATAGGCAGAATTGAGTAATGCTTGTGCGGGATGCAGATTTATGCTGAATTCTTTCGCCTCCGCGTCCAGGTCCAGCCTGACCTCCAGATGAGGGATGTCCAGCGCGTCGCAGATGCTGTGGATGTGCTGTCCGAGAATTGGATCCGACGGTCCAAACACAGCCTGTACCCCAAATTTGACCTGTTGGCAGGCTGAAAAAAATACTCCAATTAATCAATAACATTAATTAAAAGATTTCCGGTAATTATTTTCTCTATTTTCTTGCCGTTACCCTCAACTGAAATGTTAACAAGAATAACGAGAACCGCGAATTGGTAAAAAAAAATTCCGCAGCAAATGGACCTAATGAAATTATTACCCCCAAAATTTCCGAATTGCGCACTAATGGAGGCGTCAGAAATTTCCGAATCGAGGGATTCACCAATACGATAAAATAGTGTTTAATTTCCATTACACGATTATAGTTGCATCCACTACCCTTTCACGCTCATGTGAAGTTCCATCAAATTGTAGTCCACAGAGATGCACTCGAAACTCTCTACTAAACGTGTAAATACGAACTTGTGGGGTAGAATTATTGCTGCAATAATAGGGAGTTTAGGGGAATGGAAAATGGTCTCAAGTATTTCTGTTTTGATAACTTTGATGCTCACGCTGAGAGGATCTCGCTCAGGGTACATGAAGTCGTCCTCCAGGGATATTGGGTTAACTCCTTTGAGATTACACTCGAGGGGGTGAATCGGGGGTTGGGGGGTGTAACGTCCGCTTCAACGAGGTTATCTTGGTGGATTGTAAGGGTCGTTAGGCCTCATTCAGGAGTATTCCATTCCACTGAGCTATGGATACTTGCCACTCGGTTGTGTTTCATTGGTTTACCTGTTTACTATTATTATAGTCTCCGGGGAAAGGACTATGACTCATCCCGGAGATCATCCACATCCCGCCAATTTCATTTTTCCCAAAATTTTCCATTTCAACGAGATATCAACGAGATTCAACGTCTGACTTTTTATTTAGCCATTCCCCTGATATTTTTGGATACATTGTTATTAAAAATTTATAATTTCGTGGAAAAATCGAAGATCACTGAGAATTAATATTCTGATTTCCCTGGAAAATTAAATATAATTAAATGGGGATATTAAAAATTGTAGGGGAAATTTAAATGAAAAATGTTAACAGAGGGTGAGGGGAGAGGGTGCAAATAACACTTGCGGTCGAATAGAACCCTTATCTCGTCTCATTTCTATGCATCAACCCCTATCGCTGCCAACAGTGTTATGAGTTGAAATATCCATGGGGTTGCCGTCACGTACGATATCGATGGCTCCAGCCTACCGATTCTCACTGGCATATCTAAACAGGATAAATGTACACGGGCTCAACAATTCCATGTTTATCGATATTGTCGCTAAGAGGTTAATCCCGGAAGGTGCCGTTACCCGGAATCAAACCGATTGTGTGTACGTGTGAGAGGAAACTTCTCTCTCTTTTCCCGTCATCTCCGTTAGTCCGTGGACATTCAAATTCATACCGGCAAACACCCTGAAAAGCCGCCATTCGATCCACTCCGATAGGAACACCTGTTCCACTTCTAATGTTACGTCATGATAATCGAAACACCTCATTAAATTTCGGTACGATATAAAAATCGGTTGAATTTTCATTGGAAAATAATGACTTCCGTTTTCACGATTTTTAATAATTTCGCACATTCAACTGGAAAATAAAAATTTTATTCGACGCCCAAAAGAATTGCATGACTTTTTAATTACAAAATAATATTTAAAGGATTTTTTTTTGCTGCGTTATAGGGAAATTTAGGCTCTCAAATATTTTCCCGAAGGATTTTTCAAAAATTTGTAATTTTCACGGCGATTAAATACCTTTTGTTCTTTTCATGAATTATTGTCACTGGGTTGTACAACAACTGGGTGAACCACGGTCATTGTATACCAGTAGCATAAAGGGGAAATGAAGGCAATGGGGTGATAAAACGGGAAAAAAAGAAGAGATTGGAGAATAAAAAGCAGAAAAAAAATGAGAAAAAAAACCACGGGGGGTGGATAAAACAGACTGGGGGCATGGAATCGCGCCAGAGTCGGGGTGGATTTGTTTACGGCGTCGAGACGCAAAAAACTTTTCACGGCTGATGGCGGATGTCTCGAGATAAATAGGAAAGTTAATCTCTTCAACCGCTGAATTGCTATAACCTCTGCCAAGACTTATTCCCGTGTCGGATACACCAGCATGTGGACGGAAGTGAAGATTTTACTCTGGGAGATCATCGAAGAAGCCGCCAATATGGATCTAGCCATTCGAAAAGTCGAGGATTATTTTTCAATTTTTCACTACTGAAACTTTGACGGTATTTTTCGACACCGCGAAATACTTCGGGATATTTGTCACAAGCCATTTTCCCTCGAACCTCACAAAATTCGAGAGACGAATTCGATCTGACGGATGTCAATTTATTTATTTATTTATTTATTTTCATTTTTTATGATCACAGGAGAAAAAAGGAGGAAAATTACCTCGAAGTTCAAATTCGGAATGCAAGTAATGTTGGCGATAATTGATAATTATTGGTGAAATATTTATGAGAATTTTCATTTTTTCATTTGCAGGCTATAGAAATATTTCAGATCAATTTCTAGTGCAGTAATATTTCTGGTTCGTATAAAAACGAACGTGGAAAAAATACACGAGGAATATTGATAAATCGAAGGAACATCCTCGTGATAAACGAGATAACAAGAGTGCATTGCCATATGAGCGCCGGAGGCACTCGTTTTCGAGGGTTTCTCGAAGCTCTTAAAGGACTTTTCTTCACTTTCCACTCACCCGCTCTCCTTTATCCTCGAGGGTAGCTTTTAAAGGAAATTTCACCTTTCATTTTTTCTTCAAGTGCTACACGAGCAGTTTATCACTAGTTTTATGGCAAATAAAATTGATAATAAACCTTTGTAGAAAATTCTTATTAAGTAATCAAATGAGGAAAGATAAGAGAGAGAAATGCGGAAAAAAAACCTACACCCCAATTTTTTTTATGTCAACAATTGCAATTCAATTACATCAAACAAATAATTGTCCCAACCCAAAGGGATAAATTCAAAAAAATTATTACGAGTAAAAATACGAGGAATAAAAAATTTATTTAAAATTGGATTGGAGATTGTAGACGGAAGTAATTGGAGTAATTTATTTGTTTGATGGAGATGAATAATTGTTTTAGGTGTGGAGCGCGGATGTTTGGAGATTAAGTTTTTGATGTCCTGTTTCGACGAGAAAAATGGGGGATATTTTTATGGAGAGTTCCCGCTGGTTTTCCAATCGGTCGATGGGAAAATTGCGAGGACAGGTTTCACAACGGCAAAGTAGAATTACACCGTAACGTACCAGTCTCGCTTACGTAAAGTGTATTGCCGTAGTTTTCACGAGTTTTGTACATCGACTCATGCGCCTATCCAGGCCTTTACCCATGCATTCTGGTGCACAACCTTCTTTCTATGGTCAATAAACTTGAGAATCCATTACGCGTTATCATGCATTTTCCTCTGAATTTTTTCATCGCTGAGTGAAGAAAGTATTTTAATATCAGTCTTCGATGGAGGAGGCACTGACGACCTTTGGCTGGATAAAGTCCGGGAATAGTTTCGTTCCTGAGCGAGCGGAAAATGTTTGATTTTTTTTTTATCTACTGGAGTCGATGAAAGACTGAATTTATGAGTCATAAGTCAAGAATCTTTTTCCATCGGGACAATGGCGACGGAAATCAGTGTCAACAGAATACATTTGAGTCCTTTGAGATTCACAAATTCATCCACATTTCAAGTAATTTAAATTCTTGCTTTTCCAGTGGAAAAATACCCGTAAATTTCCCGGGAATACTTCCTCACCCCGAAATTTCAGTTGTAAATATTTCCTGTTGATCCCAGAATTTTTCCTCAATTAAATTTTTATCCGGGATCTATTTTCTGTCTCAAAGGAAACCCTCAATATATTTTATTTCCTCTCACAGCTCTTCTGGAAATAGTCCCCTCAAAAATCATTATGACTTGAAGCAATGCTGTCGGCAGTTCAGAGTTGATCCTCATCAATCCTCAAATTCCTTTATCATTTTTCCTCCTGTAATCCAAGAACGTCGCACAACGTGAAGTTGAGAAAAAGTTTCTCTCGAATTGAGTTGCCCGAAGGATACCGGAAATAAGGCGCCTTTGGTAGAGACGACAACGACTGTCGGATGCTAGCTCGGTTGGTACTCACCAGCCTCTAAATGCCATCCTATTTGCCGAGGTGAAAATGAACTTCCTCATAATCAAAAGTCTGACAAGTCTGACAAGTTTCACAGGTACATCTATTTCACTATCATTCCGTCAGAAATAAATGGGTGAAAATAATGCACTATTAAAACGCACTTTAGAAAAGCCATTGGTTGTTACTTCCTCTCTTCATTCATGATTAATTCAATCTCCGCCATCTCCCATCCATAAAAACTGAAATAACAGAATCGTCGCATCATGATTCGATACTCAATCAATCAGACAGCGAAAAGTTAATTGAAATTACCAAGTAAAGTTAACTCGGCGTTTGTAACTAGTTAAAATCCCCCTCAACCATTGAATCCTTTGATGCTCATGACCGGACTCAAATGCGTCTCTACAACAACACTCACCCATGGTTCGTTCAATCAAACTAATTGGCCGTTAAATCTCAGAGCTCCGGGCTAAATCAAATTACGTACAGTTCCACTTGGCATTGAACTCACGTTCCATGATCCCCACACTGAGGAAATAATTCCTAATCTCTCAGACTCTGATAAAACGCTCATCCCTGAGGAGATACTATTTTTTTTTTGCTCGATGGGAGAATGAAGACTGCATTTTCTCGCGCTCGATATTTTTCTCGGTCGAGTGGCAGAAGGCTGATGGTGTCGAGGCCATCGATAAGTGGATACTCTCGTTTTTATCAGGAAAGAATATCCGAAGGCCCTCCTCACTCCCTCTCCTTCCCTATTCTCCCCCCTGAAGACTTATCGGCGGATTAATAATTCACTAGAAGTGGTAATACCGTAAAATTCCACTGCAAACCTGCAGTTCACTCCGGTTCACACCACAAATTCACAACATTTTGAAGTTGACACCTTCGGAAAATAATTTTGGAAATTTCAAGAGGAATTCCATAACTTTAACCACAACTTCAGATTTCATTTTGCATTATTCCAATATTCAGGGAATTTATTACTCGAAATTAATTAATGAATCGAGTAGATGATTTTTTTCTCAGTGTAGTCTTGGTAGCCTTGGTAAAATGTGCCGGTCTAAAATAAAAAATTCTTGACATATCGGACTCGTGACATTGAACTATTTTTTGACGTATAATCTCAAAAGAGAATGCCACTCTCTATTCTTTTATTTGGCAACTCTCTAGACAACAGCTGAAGCACCTGAACAATGGACTCCTTGTAATTCGATCGGTCTCAATTTGAGTCTGCTCTTCTTCATTAAATCCAGATGATGATTCAAGTGGATCGAGTCTTAATTAGTCATCCGGTTAAAAAATTCGATTTATCTGAATAAAATGAGGCGAGAGGTTCTCCAAAATCTGTTTTGGTTTCTGAATGGGTAAGGAGCTTTGGACCTTCTAGGGAGGTCTCTGATGAATAACTCAGGTGTCCTGAGAAATACCCAGTGCAATAAATGATGCAAGTGGCTAATCTGATGGAATACATTCGCTGAACGGCGAGTGCTCCAACGTAAGCAGGTAGTTTTCCGCAAGAGTAAGCACATGTTTTCAAACATTTGAGAGGGAATTTTTCTCCCCTTATCTGTCGTCATTCTCGTGAACCTCGTTAGAAGTAATGTCGCCTATCAGTAGAGCCAAATGCCAGCCCCTCACGTTGGTTTCCATTGTCGATGGTATAGGTATATCGATGCTAACTCGTTTCGAGTCTACAATTTGGGTAAATGTTCCTTACAGACTATTACACTGTGGCTTAAGCCTTCTTGGAGAGTTGCGTCCTCTTGTGAATAACTTTCCAAGGAGTTTTGGCACACTTGTGAAACTCGGGACTCAAAACACATGGGTCTTGTGGCTGACGGGGAATTCCTTGTCCAAGGGGACAGGAAACATTTACAGGACTTGCATTGGTCACTCGTACGTTTGTTCAATTGAATTGAGGGTTTTAGTGTTCGGGATATCGGACATTTTTTTCGGTGGATCTAGGAAGGAAAAATCGGGGAAAAATCGCGATTTTTATTTGTGAATTGGAAATAATGACGGCCTTCATGGGATAAAGTTTGATAGCTTTTCCACTTTTTCTCCTTTTTCTACATTTTTCTACTCGTTCTGATAATCGCCCGTTTAACTATGAATTTTATCATCACAGCGGTATCATTTCCGATTTTTATTGGTGAGGATAATGAAGATGAAATTACCGTAAAGATGAGGAGAAAAATCCATAAAACTGGAAAGGGCAATTTCGGTATTATCAACTGAGAAAACTTTTCCTCTTCGCGATATTCTTCCGCTGGTTATTCGACCGCTTCTGTTATTTTCTTGTTATTCGCCCTTAGGGGTATTGACATCGCGGAGTTGGGAAAATATTCCGGGACTTTCGCCCTTTTGTATTCTCCTACACATCAGAAAAAATCAATTGACCGAATCCTGAATCCAACTCATTCCATTAACTGGATCATTATAGTGGATCAATAATAGTAAATAATATGGTAGAGATAAAGATATTCGAAATTTTCAACAAAGTATCAGGGGAGCATGAAAATCGAGTAGGTATTCACTGGAATTGAAAAATTCGAAATTTTTAAAAATGTATCAGGGGAGCATGAAAATTGAGGAGGTATTCGGTGAAATTGAAAAATTCAAAATTTTTAAAAATGTATCAGGGAGGCATAAAAATCGAGGAGGTATTCACTGAATTCAAAAATTCGAAATTTTCAAAAATATATCAGGGGAGTATCAAAATCGAGGAGGTATTCACTGAAATGTGGAAATTCGAAATTTTTGAAAATATATCAGGGGAACATGAAAATCAAGGAGGTATTCACTGGAATTGAAAAATTCGAAATTTTCAAAAAAGTATCAGGGGAACATGAAAATCGAGGAGGAATTCACTGGAATCGAAAAATTCGAAATTTTAACACTTACCCTTTTTGGAGGCATGGAAGGAGTCATCTTTGGGCACGTACTGAATATCGTAAGTTAAATTTGTCTCTGGCAGTATGACCTTGTCCTTGTTGATTTTGTAAATGGCGTACTTGAAGGCCAGCTCTGTGCTGCTATCCTTTTGGTCATGAGTGAATATGGCACCTAAATGGAGAATTTGTTCTTTAATGCAAATGCTTGATAAACAAGTGTTTTATTCTGACAATGTTTGGAATAATAAAGGGTTGACGAAGGGATTGCTGTGACAAAGAGCACTTTGAGTGAGATTACACAGCAGATGGAGTATCTCTTGCGGTTGTTCAGTGTCAAGTACACGCTGGACATTTACTAATTGCTGACGCTTGTGGTCGATGCAGTGCTACTTGAAGTGTTATATCAATTATCCACGGATTTCAGGGATTCAACTTTTGTTTACATCCCCCGAGCGGAGGGTTGTTGTTTTCTGAGGGATTTTGACTGTTATCACTGTGTTGGATTAAGAAGAGGACTGAGAGTCTCATTCATTATGGATATTTCAATCTGGAGGAGCCCACCAGCTATTTACCCACTTACTGGACTTTCTTGAGCACATGTGGGTGACACACAGCCTCTGGGTCTTCGGTAATGGATCATTAATATTCCTGTCGACTCGGAAAACTGAAAAATGAGCTGTTGACTATTTTTAGTAATTTACTATATAATTTTGAGAGGAAATGTACGCGAATTATTGATGAGACATTAATTTTCAACTTATTGGTCAATGTTTATCTTTGGAAACATGATATCCATGAGCTGTGCTTGGTGTTATTTGAAGGAGAGATCTTGGACAATCCCTGGAGGATCCAGCAGGCGTGAGGGGGTTGATCCAATGGATTTGAGGGTCATTGAGATTAATCACGTTAATGCCTCGTAAACAGTTTGGTAACTAACATGTTAAGGGCGTCTGGCGATGGCCCTATGGTCGTAGAATCTTACGGGATTATCATTTGGATAATGTAAACTATATTTATAACGTGTTATATACTTCAGTGAATTTTTCTAGGACAGTAGGTTATTAAATCGGTGGAGATAACGAGACTTGGCTGGCGGCAGTGCATCTACACTCTTGAATACTTGAATACTTGAGTATTCGAAGTAGTAACGAGTAACTTCATTCGTCTTGCGGACTGGTCCGCCGTTGCTGCATGAATCCCGAGGAAAATTTTCTTTGCACTCGGGCCAAGAAGTGGAAAAAGAAATTCGCTTTTCATTCGTACCGCCTTATTTTCCATCTCTCCGGTTGCCTTTTCATCTCAGCTCTCTGTTTTCAATTGAAAATCGTCGCTCACTGCCGCCGTTCTACCACCAGTTATTTCACTCTCGAGTTTATTTCTTTTAATCTATCATCCGTTTTTTTACTTACTCTAAAAAAATTACCCATGATTTCTTTTCGTCAATTAAATTCAGTTCATAAATCGAGGCGGTATTCACGGAAATTTGAAAATTGGAAATTTTCGGAAAAGTATCAGGGGATCATGAAAATCGAGGAGGTATTCGCTGAAATTTGAAAATTCGGAATTTTTGGAAAAGTATTAGGGGAGCATGAAAATCGAGGAGATATTCACTGAAATTGAAAAATTCAAAATTTCGAAGAAAGTATCAGGGGAGCATGAAAATCGAGGAGGTATTCGCGAAAATTGAAAAATTCAAAATTTTCAAAAAAGTATCAGGGGAGCATGAAAATTGAGGAGGTATTCACTGAAACTTGAAAATTGAAAATTTTGAAAAAAGTATCCGGGGAGCATGAATATCGAGGAGGTATTCACGGAAATTGAAAAATTCAAAATTTTCAAAAAAGTATCAGGGGAGCATGACAGTCGAAGAGGTATTCACCGAAATCGAAAAATTCAAAGTTTTCAAAAAAGTATAAGGGGAGCATGAAAATCGAGGAGGTATTCACTGAAATTTGAAAATTCAGAATTTGAATTACAGCTAACACCTGCTCGATTTTGATGTTCCCTCGATACTTTTTCAAAAATTTCGAATTTTCAAATTTCAGTGAATCCAAATTTCGTAAAGCAGAAAATAATATTCACCCTGTCAACTGCCCCCTCTGACAGCGGGACTGCTACTGACGCAGTTACCGCGAGTCGACTGACGGGCGAACACCCCACCATTGGGGGTCTGAGTGGGACCCTATTGGCAATGCTGTACTGCACCCCAAGAGTGGGAGGGGGCTACACACCAAGAGTGGGAGGGGGCCACTCGCCAAGAGTGGGAAGGGGCCACACGCCAACAGTGGTGGGGTGTCTACCCGTCAGTCGACTCGGTAACTGCCTCAATAGCAGTTCCGCTGTCAGAGGGAGCAGCGAACGGTGTGAATATTATTTTTTCCGTTATGAAATTGATATTCCCTGCAATTGAAAAATTCGAAATTTCTGAAGAAATATCAGGAGAGAATGACAATTGAGGAGGTATTCACTGGAATTGAAAAATTCGAAATTTTAAAAAAAGTATCAAGGGAGCATGAAAATCGAGGAGGTATTCACTGGAATTGAAAAATTCGAAATTTTCAAAAAAGTTTCAGGGGAGCATGAAAATTGAGGAGGTATTCACTGGAATTGAAAAATTCGAAATTTTCAAAAAAGTTTCAGGGGAGCATGAAAATCGAGGAGGTATTCACTGGAATTGAAAAATTCGAAATTTTCAAAAAAGTTTCAGGGGAGCATGAAAATCGAGGAGGTACTCAGTGAAATTGA